ATTTTATTTTTCTGTCTCATAGTATTTGATTGGTTAAATCCTATCATTTGAGGTACTGTACGTCACGATTGTGCCACTACAAACGAAGATACGTAAATAGGGCCCTTTTGACATGTTGCTGTATTTGATTTCTAAGTCATTATATTCTATTAGTTAAGTGCTACCATTTGATATATCGTACGTGACGATTGGACTAATAGGACCGAAGATACATAACTAAGGCCCTTTTGACATGCTACTCCATTTAATTTTTATACCTTATTGTAATTTATTAGCTAAAACCTTTCATTTGAGGTACTGCACGTCATGATTAGAATAATAGACCCGAAGATACACAACTAAGGCCCTTTTGGCAAGTTGCTGTATCCGATTTTTCTATTTCATTGTTTTCCATTGGTTAAATCCTATCATTTGAGATACTGTACGTCACGATTGGACTTATAGAAACGAAGATATATAACTAAGGCCTTTTTGACATGCTGCTGTATTTGATTTTTCTGTCTTATTGTATTTTATTGGTTAAATCCTATCATTTGAGGTACTGTACGTCACGACTGGACCAATTGGAGCGAAGATACAATAGGTAGTTACAATATATCATAACTCGTTACTTTTAACAAAACATGATGCCAGAATGATTTATGGATGAAAAAAATATATATATATTTTTAAATTTACTATTTCGTTGTGGGTAATATTATATTCAACAGCGATGCCAAATTTCTGATGCTAAAATGATTGATAATGAAAGTTGGATATACATTTTTATGTATATAATGACATCGAGTAAACGGTAAAACCCTGAACTAAATATATATAATATTTTCACCGTACCATCATTTTAGACTCAAACATTTTCTGGAATAAACTTATATAACTCAGTAAGGGATAAAAAGAGAAAGCCGATACTTTAAAATACCAACACGGTATCAAATCTCTAATCAGTGAGATGGTTAAAATTCTTGTAAGAAGTACAGGAAAAAAGTTATTAAGGTGTTGTAAAGTTGCGTCGATATACAGATGCTACTTTGCAAGACGATGCTAAATTGATGGTAAAAGCATAATGTATCGATGCCAAAATGATAGTAGGATGTATATTATATATATATATATATATATATATATATATATATATATATATATATATATATATATATATAATGCATGTACAATATAAATGTATTACATTCTCAACAGAAACTTATTTGAAATCAAAGAATTTAGACTTTAAATCAGTCAGTTATAGTTTTTGTTAATGCACAAAGTCCTCCTCGAGAACTTAAAAACACATTAGTATCACAAGAATCAGTAGATTGACAAGAAACCATAGTTTCATTCGTTCCATTCGGCTACGAAGGCCATAACCAAAAAAAAATTAAAAACATGCATCCAAATATAAAACTGACAAATAGGTAAATGAAATAATAAATAAGACTTTACAATAATAAAAGTGACATTTTTACGTCTCAATACGATCTATGAACCAAGGAATAATCCAGGCCTTTCAGCTCTATTAAATTAGACGAACCTTCAAAATGATACTGAATATTATGAAATGTTATCCTGACATGAATGTTGTGGAATGCTGGAAAAAATTTGACATACAAAAAGGCATAGTAAACGTAAAAGAATCGTTGCAACAACTGAAGACATACACATTGTAATGATGCTGGAAAAACCTGTGGCCTGTTCTGAATGCGGGGAATGAGGAAGAATCTGTGCAATTTCAAACTTTAACTGCAAACATTGCCGAATTTGCGAGTGGAATAGGTGGAGATGGGTTCGAACACATAGTATCAAGTGAGCTGCTTGAATCGCAAGATGTAGTTTTGACAGAACCCGACTTAAAGGAAATGTTAAATTCCCAACTCATTCAAGAAGAGACTTCAACAAGCACTGGAAACATAACACTTAATTTTAAAAATCACAGTGAAGGTTAGTGAATCGCAAATGTGCTTTGTGATTTTTTATGAAAATTGATCCATCTATGAAACGGTGTCTTATTTTTAAGAGGCAAATTGCTAATCCCGCTGCTGGATATCAGTCTGAATTAAAGGAGTTTTAAAAATTGCCAAGCAAAAGAAAATTTCTAAATTCTTAAATAAAAACTATTGCCTAAACCGGAAGATAATTAATCAATAATATTCAATATATCAATTTAATAATTAAATAATATGTATGGTGAAACACTTCAATTAAACTTATTTTTTATATATTTGATTTGTTATTTCGTGACTTAGGAACGTATCCCCTATAACCCCATATAAATTACCATTATGTATTAACGGTTTTTGTATTCGCGGCATATTTACGGAACATATACTCCGCGAATAAAAAGCTTCTACTGTACTAACTCTTTTATACCTTGGAAGATTTTATTAAAAGAATTTTTAATATAGTTGTTCTCTCAGCTTGTTGCAATGTTGGTAACATATAATACAAAAATTAATACTTCTGAGTATTAATAGCTCAAAAAAACTTTCTAATAATATATTCATTGAAAAAAGAATAATAATCATGATAAAAGGGAGCGTCTACTCAATAATTTTGATGAAAAGTTTGTTTGTTTTAATTAAGGCAGTATTATTTTGTTATTAAACTATACATATGTAAATATTTTTTATCTGATCCCTCTGAGAGTGCAACCTTTTGTTCTTAATAATTGTATTTACAAAAAATTTAATTTAACATATTTTTTACTATCTTTTTTCGATATTTTTAATTCTTTACTTCTTTTGTTTTCTAGTGTATGGTGCCACACATCATTTGATATTTATCTAGTATAGGTATTTGTTATATATCTTCTTCTTCGTAACTTATATCGCACCCTAAAAAGTTGAAATATGACACCTGTTCTATGGGCACTTCATTTATTATTATTTTGGAACGCACATATTATTTTCGTTATAGCATAACTTTCTTCTTGTTCACATTACAGGTAGATAACAGGCTGATAACGTTACGTTAATTTCCAAGTACTTAGATAAACGTATTCAGGGACAAATTAAACAGGTTTTAGAAGCATCTGCCCCTTAAAATTGACCTATGTACTTTGTACTATATTTGATCGCATGGTTAAAAAATAATTTATTTCTCTACCAATATATTCCAATATTTATTACATGGTGCGAAGAAAGTAATAACAAATATTGTATAATAATTGTCTTTATTTGTTTTTCTACTTTTTGTACGTACAGTAAAACCTCCCTTTACCGAAACATCGTTTAACCGAAACGGCTAACAGTTTCAATCATGTCGTCAATAAAAAGTAAATTTTTATCGCAAAATGTAAATTACATTAATTTCACTCACCGATTGATGCCTATGTGTGTTGGGAAATTAAAAAAACCAGGAGCTCTAAAAGATATTTGAGAAAAAGCACTTTTTTATAGAAGCCAAAAAAGCTCATGGATGTCGACCACTTTATTTTAAGAATGGTTCGAAAATGAATTTGCCTCAAGCGTAAAATGCTTTTTAAAATAAAAAAAAAACCTTCCCATCAAAGCATTGTTGCTTGTTGATTCAAAATCTATACAATAGTGATAATTGTCAGATTTTTGCCACCGAATGCCACGAGCTTAATTCAACTGTTAGACCAGGGAGTAATAGAGACATTCGAGAGACATTCTTATATCACATATAGAGGAGCATTCTTAATAAGACATCTGTTATTACAGGAGACAAATGAATCCAAAAGTGTTCCTGAAATCCCCAAATGTTCAACAATGAAACATGGTGTTTATCGGTGTGCTGAGTTGTGAGCCAAGATCAAATCTTCAACTTTGGAAAAATGCTGGAACTAACTTTTTGATAGGATTTTGATTGACGATCCTGAAGAAGAAAATGGTAAAGAAACGACAAACGAAATTAAACCTTTAATAAAAAATTTGCCGGGATGTGACGAAATTAATTAAGAAGAGATACGTGAGTGATTAGCAGCCGATGACTCAGAAAGTAAATTCATCGACCAGGACATCATTGATATGGTTCTTCATCCAGACAACCTGAGAGTATCAGACGATGAAGATGACGACCCAACAGACAACAGGCAGCATGAGACCGCCGACGAAATTTTCAATGCCTTAAGGACAAGAATTTTATACAGTAGGCCTAATTAGTTAGGGACACGAGTAGGTTCTTAATTTGTGTTGTCATTGTATAAAGTTTTGTTCTTTTCAGATTACTTTACGTTTCGTCGAACGATGAAATGAGGCAAACTCACGACGTTCTGCAAATGAACGATGGAGTTATATAGCTGCAAAACATCATTGTCAAACGATAACGTAAAAGAACATAGAAGATTTCTTTAACAAACTTGTTAAACTTGTTCATTTTCCTTAATTTTATTACTTTATTCTGCATTTACTTATTAGAACATTACGAGATCACCTCATAGTATTTTTTAATACCAATACTGTGGCAGCCGTAGCTTAGTGGCTATGTTACTGGCTTAACAAGCTGGAGGGGTTCATATCCCGGCACGTTAAGCCGTCGGTCCCGGCTACGAAAGTAGTCGTTAAGTCATATTAGGGGCGCTTGCGCGACCTGAAAACCCTAACGCTAGACCTTAGCCAGAAGGTTACACGAACTTTACTTTAACCAAGAATACTATAAAAACAATGTTATTTTTAACCGAAATTCTTGTTATCCGAAACGGAAATTATTTCGGATAATGGAGGTTTTACTGTATTCATTTTGAGAGAATTTCATAGTGGGTATTTTTTAAATATGTCCGGAAAACAATATGTTTTCCATACTATACAATATGTTTTCCGGACTCCTAAGCCATGGTCTTGAATTATTTCTTCTTGGCGTTTTGTCTGCATTTGCAGCAGAGTAAAGGCAATGTGGTTGGAGTCGTCTTTTAATTCAGCAGGTGGAAGACAGCTCCGAGTGTCAGACACATCACCTTTAATAATGCCTGTCGTAGGAGCAGACATAATTCAGATCGTGGCTCTGAAAAAAAAATGTATTATTTTTTATTGTAAAATATGTTTTAGGATCATTGAGGCCATTGATGCTATTGTTAGCACTGCTTATTCTCATCAACGTACATTTATTATGGAAGTCATGGGCAGACACTGTGGGTAAGAATTGCACCAGTCGGAAACATATATTATAATGTTAAAACATTATATATGTTTCCGTATTTTCTCATTTATATCATTATACTTTGTTGTCTACTGATTTTAAAAACGTATATATATATATATATATATATATATATATATATATATATATATATATATATATATATATATATATATATATAATGTGTAGAATATGTGTGATGGACGTATCAGATGATTTGGAGTTATATTTTTTTCAAAGTTCATAATATGTACTAGTCTCATGTGAGAACACAAAAACATAAAGTATGTGAAAGATATTACCAAATTACATTTATCATTACCATGTGAATGTAGCACCAGGTTTGACCCATGGACGTATAAATAAAGATGGACTAGGCATGCCCTGCACTCTGTTCACCTAAATTTGAAGTCGAAAAGTTTATAGGCGCGGGGAAAGAGACGAGGTGATAGACTGTGACATTTCCTTTTAAGTCAGCGGCGTACCTTCCAATATTTGAAAGTTATTTGAAACAGTTTTTTCACTTGAATAAATAATGACTATTGGTTTGATTGCTTTTATTTTTAGTATCGTAAACATATGAAATATTTCGAATAAGTGAGAAATAACAAACGGTGAATAATTTTAATTTTCAGTATATAGAAATATATTTATAAAAATTAATTTACACAAACGAATAAAGATGGAGTAAATAAAATCGTAAAGTACTTTATATAATATTTTATTTAAACTAAAATAACACACAAGCAATAAATAGTTTCAAACCCATTAACCTGTTCAGGGTATTGAGTATATTCTTCTCTTATCCAATGAGTGATAAGTTGAAAAAATATAGTGAATTATAGTGTATAACTCCAGCTTAATTGTTAGTTGGCAACATTAGTATGTCATGTTAGACATAGCAGTAGACGGAAGAAAGATAAAAATTCAGGAATATGTATTTAAGAAAGTATTAATAAACGTAATAAAACCATAAACCATTGTTTAACAAAACATAAACAACAAACCACATATACAACAATATATAAAACACATTAAACCTTATGGAACGGGTAGGGTTCTAAAATAGAAATATGCTTTGTCACTGAAAATTATACAATGCTTACAAAAAGTAAAAAAAAAAACAACAATAACAATTAAAATTTACTAAAATTACAAAAATCGTCAATATCACAAAATAAAAGATAGTAAAATATACAAAATCTAATTGTTGCATAATAAAACATTACTAAGTAGTTTACGAATTTTTTACGAAGTTTTAGTTGCTGCATGTGATATATGTTACGGAACTTAAGGATGTAATTTGTAAGTTGCAGAGGGAGATATTTGTATAATTTTTTTGCATATATAGATTTCTTTACTAAGTCAGTGGACGGGATCGATGATTATACATCAAAGGTTGAATTTCTAGTGGAGCAGTCATGATTGGGTCTTGTTGGAAAAACATGTAGGTATTTACCAATTAAGAAAACAGTTTCTAGAATATACGAAGAGGGAAGAGTAAAAATCCCGTGATTTTTTAAGTAGCTTCTAAAATGTGTTATTCTTCTGAGTTCAAAAAGATACCGTATTGCTCTTTTTTTGTAATTTAAAAATAACATTAGATTGGGCAGCTGTACTATAACCGCAAAAAGAAAGGCCATATCGAAGATGAGACTCGAACAAAGAAAAATATGTTATTGGAAGATGCTAATTTGATTTTCTTTAAAACAGATATTATTGCACAGCAGGCTGAGACTAGGTTCTTACTTAACAAATCGATATAAAGGAACCATTTAAGGTTGTTGGCTGTAAAAATACCATGAAATTTTACAGAATAAACGATACTAATCCTGCTATTATTAAGAAGCAAGGGTTGAAGAGCTCCTTTATAGGATAATGCTACTGTCTTATTCACGTTGAAAGATAGTAAATCAGAGTCGGACAAGATTTTTATTTTAAGTTGATCAGAAGTTATAATTGTATGAAGAATTGTAATATTGGAGTTCCTCTAGGTAATACTGGTATCATCAGCAGGAATAAAAATTTTCCATCGATTTTTAAGTTAGTGATCATTTATAAAGATAATGAAAAGTAGAGGACCCAGTCTCTTATGGTACTACACATACAATGCTCTTGTGACTAGAGTCATTATCACTTGCTCTATTTGTTTCCTATTTCTCAAGTAAGATTGGAACCAATTCAAAGAAATACCTCGAATTCCGTAGAAATTTAGTTTTTTATCTAAATGTCGTGATTTATACAATCAAAAGCTTTGGCATAGTCACAAAAAGCAGTGGCAATGTATAGATTGTTTAGTGCTTGATAAACCTCATGTAGTAGAGAAAACTTAGCATCACTGGTATATTTATTAGATAAAAAGCTGGACTGACTTCGTGATAAATGGTGCTCGAAGATGCGTTTTCTGTATCTATATTTTCCTTGTTGCCTTCATTGTCATTTAAACATCTAGAATATTCAATTTATGTACATTAAAGAAAAATATTAAAATTGGTTAAGATTGAAATAATTCATACAAAATTTTGCCAAAACTCACTTCCTCTTTAATAGTTTAGGAGAATTAGATTTTACATTAAAGTCCAAGTCTGTCTTCATATTGCATTCTTCAGTATCAATCAAACTTCTAAAATATTTTAATATTAAAATTTCCACATTTAGATTTTATTTGTAAATTTAATAAACAAATTCGATACAAACCCACCTTTTTGATGGTCCATAAAAAACATCCTTATCAATACTACTGGAAGCTGTTGCTTTATTTTCCATATCGTTTGTAGAACTGAAACATTGAATTAATAAAAAAAAAAAGAAGAAAGACATGCATCAATATTATGGAATATGCTACGAGTATGCATTATATTTGGTTACATTTAATTTTCGTACAATGAACATAACCTATAGATATGTTTGACGTTAAATGTAAGCTTAATATACGTCAGTGTTGCCATATACTCAATTATTTCACACTCTCACATATAAAATTATGGGTAAGATTTATATTATATGAAATGAAAATTTAAAATTGAAAAATACATATATAATTAAACAAAAATGTGAAAAATACATATATAATTAAAAGCATTAAAACTATACCTATAAATATTATAAAATAAAATTATATCTTGCATTTCTACATTTAACAATACTTATATAATAAAATCCATTAAAATTATGCTTAATAAATGCTTAATGAATGAATGCTGTTTAATATGAATTCAAAAATTGTGGCTTCTCATAACAAAACATTATATAAAAATTAATGTGAAAATCCCAGTAGTTGGCTGTATACCATCGTTTAAAAAACTTATACAGAAGTAAAACACTTACATTTGTATTTAGGTATATACCTAAATACAAATATGAAGCGTTTTACTTCTGTATAAGTTTTTTAAAACATATATAATTTCGTCAAGTATCTTTCTATTTTAGAAACTCCTATACTTTATACAAAAAAATGTGGCAACACTGTGACGCACAAACATATAATTCGATGCCAATGGTATGTTCATTGTACTCAAATTCAATTTAGCCTTATATTTATTATACTTTGTATGGTAAATTGCGTAGAAATTCGTTATAGTTACCTTGGTTCTGGTGATTTATGGTAAGTATTTATTGGAACAGTTCCTTTCCTCAAATTAACCCGTCCATTTGGTTGTATAATTAGATCATGCTTCTTAAAGTGTTCTGAGCAGACTGTAGCAGTTTTGGATATGTGTTCTTTGTTTAAGCCAAACACTGATAACCACATATCCAGCAGCAGTTGATTCTTTACTGGGAACCTGCATATATTTCATTGAAATTAATATATTTATAGCAATTATAGTGTAGATTAGAAAAAATTAATAAATGTATTGATAATACTACAAAATTAAACTTCAGTTCATGTCAAGAATTAAGTAATATCACATCCCTGTACTACGACTATTGACATAATTCCAATGTTTATAATACTTACGAATGAAATGACAGTGCTGGATGTAAATATGAAATTTTCCTGCATACAACACAGTTACGCACCATTATTACACTTAAGTATCAACTATTCTTCAATTCTAATTTAAAGTATATATAAGTATATTAAAAGTATATTCACTAAAATGTCACAAATAAGGAAATTATAAACTCGAAGGTAAACAATACAACGCCATGTTACTTTTCCTCAAATCGCTAGGATTGGTTGATATTACCAATGGTGCCAAGTTTTACAAAAGTTAAGATTATCAGAATATGTTTTCTTTTAATAAATTTAAAAAATAAATTTTTTTCTTTCAATTCTTTGGTTGCGAAATAAGTATATCTAAAAATAGTTTATACTAACTAGATAATACATTTTTACTTATAGATTAAAAATAAATTATACTAAAAATCGAAAATTATTTCGAAGATTGACTCGAAAAAAAAAATAATATGACAACGTCAAATTAGGGATTTGTGCCTATGACTGTGATTATCTCATGACTTCATGTAAAGATGTAAATAGCCCGGTCCATCTTTATTTATACGTCCATGGTTTGACCTATCAAACTCAAATATTCTTGAATAAATATTCAAAACAGGAGGATATAAGAAAGTTAAATAAAGAATCAATAGAAAGATGCCAGAGTGGCTTTAGACAACAGAAATCCTAATAAATATCCAAACACTAAGAATTATTTCCTAGATAAACTTATGGGCTTCTAGGCATCAGTAATTTCACGAAGAGTATAAACATGAAAAATAACATTAAAAACACAGACTCATTATGAAGGAACTTATTGCATTAGTATAACAAAAACTAGGATTGTTAAACAGGACAAATAATATTATAATAATCACAAGCTTTGTTCATATAATTAGAAATTATAGAGAAAAGAACAATACATTTAGAATTCCAAGAAACTCAAAGTTAAATTAATGTGAAAGTAATTGAAAATGCTAAAGGAAAGCATATCGTGGCTAAGAAACATCCGAAAATGGGCAGGGTTAAATTTTGAACAACTAATAAGAACAGATA